TTTGCATCATGGTAGATGCTGTCTTCCCTTCCTGCTTAGGGACCACTCCATTGGCCTAAGCTAGGCAAAAATTTTAAGAATAAAACTCAGAAGTAAACTTAATCAAGGAGGAGAAAGACTTATACACTAAAACTACGAAATGTTGTCTAGAGAAATTAAAGAAGACGCCAATAAATGAAGACATCCATGTTCATGGACTGGAAGAAATAATATTTATAATGTCTAAACTACCTTAAGTGATATAAAAGTTCAGTGCAATTCCTATCAAAACCCTAATGACTTTTTTTTTTTTTTGCTAAATAGAAGAATCCATCCTAAAATTCTTATGTTACATCAGAAAACTCCAAATAATCAAGGCAATCTTTAAAAAGAAGAATGGGGCCTCCCCTGGTGGTGCAGCGCTTGAGTGCTGGGCTGTGAAGCTGCCTGCAGCCTCTGCAGCGCCAGTTCAATCCCCAGCCACTGGCGAGGGTCCTACATGGCACTACAGACCTCTCCTGCCGCGCCCGCTGCTCCCCTCAGCAGTGTATTTTGTCAGTCTACCTGATCTATTCCCCGCTCTGGCTCTGGTGAATTCTCTCACCCTCCCATGCTTCTGACTGTACCCAGTGCTTGTATAAATAAATAAATCTTTAAAAAATAATAGTAAAAAAATAAAAAGAAGAATGTTAGAGTTCTCATACTTTCTGGCTTCAAAACATATTACAAAGCTACAGTAATCAAAACAGTACAGTACTGGCATAATAGCAGATATAGATCAACGGAATAGAATAGCATAACCAGATATAAACTCTTGTGTCTGTAATCAACTCATTTTAAACAAGGATATCAGCATCATCATACAAAAATTAGCTCAAAATGTGTTAAAGACATATATATATGAGCTTACACCAGAAAAGTCTTTTTTTTTTAAGATTTATTTATTTATACAAGCACTGGGGTACGAGCCAGAGGTGTGGGAAGGTGAGAGAATTCACCAGAGACAGAGAAGGCTGCAGAACAGGCAGAAGGACCAAAGTACACTGTCAAGGGGAGTAGCAGGCGAGACAGGAGAGGTCTGCTGCTACATGTGGGAATGTCCCTGGCTGCCCGGCAATCAAACCAGTGCTGCAGAAGCTGTGGACAGCTTCACAGTGCTGCGCTCAAACTGCTGCACCACCAGAAAGGCCCCACCATACAATTCTTAGATGAAAAGTTTAACAATGTCAAACCTGCCTTTGAGTTCTTAGATATAACAGCAAAAGTACAGATAACAAAAGAAAAAATAAATTGGATTTCATTAAAATTAAAAATGACTGCATGAAAGGATACCATCAACAGAATGAAAGGGCAACTCACAAGAATGGGAAAATGTGCAAACCATATGTTTATAAAAATTTATAAAAAATTTATAAAAATTTCCTAAAACTTAACAACAACAAAATGAAATGACCTAATGCTAAAATGGGCAAAAGACTGGAATGGATATTTCTCAAAATTATATGCAAATGGTCAATAAACATATAAAAAGTTCCTCAACATTAATCAGCAGGGCATATCAAAACACTTTGAGATAGTGTTTCACACCCATTAGAATGTTACCAAAAACCAGAAAATAGCATGTGTTGGCAAACAAATAGAGAAGTTGGAAATCTTGTGCCTTGCTGGTAGGAATGTAAAATGATGCAACCGCTGTTGAAAACAGTATGTCAGGTCCTAAAAATATTGAACATATAATTATTATATGATCTAGTAACTCCACATCTGGGTATATCCCAAAAATTGAACAGATATTTGTATACCCATGCTCTTAACATTATCCATAGCATTATTCACAATAACCAATTTGGGTGGAAAACATCCACAGTGGATGAATAGATAAACCCAATATGGTACATACATACAAAGGAATATTATTCAGCCTTAAAAAGAAAGGAAATTCTGACAAATGCTCTAACATGGATGAAACTTGATGTAGGGTAAGGTAAAAGTATCAGGCTTTTCTGCCCTCCCACCATTAGGACAGATGACAGAACCCTGCGGTCCTGAATGCATGCCTAATGGCGGGCACCTGGAGTAGGGTGTGGGCATAGGTAGATGGGATTCACCTGGGCTGAGACTGGGCTTTTAAGGGTGGCATCACAGGGACGCCAGCAGAAGAAAAGAAGCAGAGACGCAAAGAGAAGCAGTAGAAAGAGAGAAGCAGAAGCTGAGAGCAGAGAAGCAGAGAGAAGGCCGGAGAACCCAGGAAGAGTGAAGACTTGCTGGGGGCTGGGAGGCCTGCCAGCCTCCCGGCACCCCTGCCTGCCATGTGCCTGGTAATCCCAATAAAAGCCTGCAAAAACCACTGAGGGCTCCAGGACTCTGACTCCTCCCTTACCCCCGTCTGCTGGATCAGAAAACCTGCTCAGTGGCTCTGTCCTGCCCCTACACTTGAGGATATTAATCTAAGTGAAATAAACCAGTCACAAAAGAACAAAAAATATATAATTCTACTTATCTGAGGAACCTAGAGTAGTAAGATTCATAGAGACAGAAAGTAGAATGGGGACTGCCAGGGGCTGGGGGGAAAACAGGAATGGAGGTTATTGTTTAATGGATAGAGTTTCTGTTTAAAAACATAGTTTGGAGATGGATAGTAGTGATGGTCACAAAATGATGTGAATGTATTTAATGTTAATGAACAGAACAGTTAAAATGGTTTAAATGGTAATTTTATATCTTTTTACCACTTTTTTAAAGACAACTTTATCAGCTGGGAAGAAAAATTTACTCAGGCTATGGCCACACTTGGACAGGGACAAATTCTGAGAAGTTTGAATCTTTATCTTGAGATACAATTTCCCCTAATATATCTGTATCTTGTGATTATGTGATTTTGACTTTGCAGGATACGCATGCCTTTAATGAGTTCTATTTTGACTAGGTAGGTTAGTGGATGGCCAGAGCGAGGTAGCATATTTCTTTTTACAAAGACTTTACGAAGAACATTGTAGAATGACACAGGGGAATTCTAGAGAAAATCAGTCTCTTTATAGGGGTGGGTGAGACTCCTCTTAGAAATACTAAACCCAGTCATAGAAGATAATTGCTGAAAGAGTCATATAAATAGTCCAAGTTCTCTTTAAAAAAAAAAAAAAAGTTGTTTATCTAAGGAACAGAAGAATAAAAAGGGAAATCCTGCCTGAAAGTATGGGAAGGGTAACGCACATTCACTAGCTACACACAAAGCAATGCATGGGCACATACATTTTTCTCATGGGAACAGGTAGCAGCCTACCTCCTGAGAAGCCTGACTGGCAGGCATCAGCTTTGTGCCATCAGCAAGACCAGCCTCTGTCCCCAGCATTGCAGCTTTGACACATGATGTATCCCCACACTGACAGGAAGCACACGTCTCAGGAGCTGACTCACATTACCTCCATTCACAGGATAGATGTAGAGGGAAGAGAAGGCCAATTCATGAATTTACAGTGAGATTTATAAATAGCAAGGCTCCAAAAATTCTCAGTCATTTTAGCCAATACTTGTGTCTCCCCTTAAATCAGTGTGGGGAGTCAAATATTGATGAGAATATTGGTGAACATGAAATCAGGCATTCAGTGGTTACTGACATCAGACTAAAGCAGTTGTTCCTCAAACACCAAAAAGTTCTATTTTATTATGCAGTTTTGCCCTGGCCATGGATATAGCTTCAAAAATGCCCAGGTGGTTTCACTGAACAGCCTGGGAAATGAACCACTGGGGTAGTATATGCTGATGTCACACAGGGCTAGGCGCTATTTGCCAGATACCCTTTGGTGAGGGCCCCCTCTAAATCGTGTTTGGGTATTACATTGTCTGCTCAGACACTCTTACTAATGGGTGACAGCCCCATTTTTTCTTCCAAGTGCTCATTTACAGAACAGGACATCACATGACTTGCCTAAGATTATGCAGTTAGAGTCAGAATCAGGCTGTGGGGACTGTTGTCTAAGATTGATTTGAAGGAATTTAGGTTCTCACAAGTCATGTTGGCCCCCATAATTTGCATGTGATCTGCTTTCATATCTGGAATTATGAGTTTGTGGGGACAGACAGAGTGATCTCAAGCTGAGACATACTCAGAGTAACTGAAGTCGACACAGACCAGGCTCCCCTCCTCTGCACTCTGCCATACTGTGTGTGTGTTCACCTCTCCCATGCCAACCAGTTTAGATAATTACACATCCATTTACCTCCGCACCCGTCATTTCCAGAACATGCCAGGCTCATAAATAAGTACTATTTATAAGTTATGTTAAGCTTCTATTACTCAGAGAAAGGTCTGAACTAAAGAGTTCAGTAGAGGCAACCAAAGATGTATGTGATGGGAAAGTTTCCATCTTCGAGGCCCTGTAAAGCTGGCTTGGCTCCAGTCTCTGAGGCTATCTCACACACCTGGAGAACATTAGTGTCTTAGCGGGTCATTTTCCACCTCCCCCCACACCCATTATTAGAGGGGAAATAGAGAAACCATCTTGTTCACATGAATGTAATATAGTATGTGTGCATTGTTTAGGTGTGATACACTTCTAAATCGCTATGACAGCAGAATTTTATAAAGAATAGCCCCTTAAAGATCAGAACTGGACACTCAACTGTAAAAGGTACAGTAAATGTGTCATAAGGAATCTAGGTAACTTCAAATCAGTAACATTTTTTTTCTGTTTCATACAAGCTACTTATTTGAAAACTGACAAACAAAATGTCATCTAGTACTCCAGTGTTTATTAAATAGGGTCAGGAAAGACAGCCCAGTTACACCTTCTCACTGGTGTTTGATTTGATGGACCAGGGAAACTGCAAAATTTTGGAGAGTCTTCAAACCACCAAAGCAAGATTAGATTTTACTCCAAATCATTTTTATATAAAATATGGTCTCATTCTAAATGTTTGAAAAATTAGTAATTCATGAATGGCATGCATGGTAACTGTCAGTTAAACCGACTATTCATTCTTTTGCTTACCATTTATGGCATTATTTTTTTCTTCCTATTTAGGAGTTCAGCCCTCCCAAAGAGTCACCTCAGGTATGTGTGACTGATGCTGAGAAGTTTCAATGTTTCATTTTGTTATTTTTCAAAAAAGTGCAGAAGTACATCCTATTACTTGCTTTAATTCTAGTTTTTCTATTGTCCTCATTTCAGAATGAAAATCTTTAAATTATTTTTAATTTAATTTTTTATTAAATAATATTAGAAGGTTGTTCTTTAAATCAGAATTTTGTACACAATGACTTGGTGCACTGAAATGGAGATAAGCATTATTTTCTCCATTTTAGGACAAGAACAAGGACTATGCTTTAACAAAAGAATTCATCTTCTCCAATTCCTGCAGTTAATTAAAATGCTTTGGTTCAAAGAGAAGCAGTAGACCACATTTTTGAGTCTTCATTACTCAAAGGGCAGTGTGAATTTGGAAGATCAGGGATTTTTTTTTTTTTTTCCTTTTCCATCTCTCCGGTCTCATTGGCACAAAGGCAAATACTTAAAACAGATTAACTTGAGATAGATCTCAATAGCAGTCATATAAGATTATAGAATCAAAGAAATCTAGAATTGGGAATAATTAACAGGGCATTTAGTTTAGAGATTGCACATATGTGATGGGTAATATAATTCCTCTCACCCTCATCTAAGGCAGAATGAATTATTAAGCCTAACTGTGGCCCAACAGATGTTTTCTAGACAATGCCGCCAAGCAGCCATTACCATGTAACTAGTTGCTAGGGAAGCCACTATAGCAGATAAACTAATCATCTTATAGTATGAGAACTTTGAGGTCCATGAAGATGAGCTGACTGAATGAAGGGTCACTCAATGGGTGACAGAGAAGCCCTATTTTATATTGTAGGATAGATGATGGAACCCTGTGGTCCTGAATGCATGCCTGATGGCAGGCACCTGGAGTAGGGTGTGGGCATATGTAGATGGGATTCATCTGGGCTAAGACTGGGCTTATAAGGGTGGCATCATGGGGACACCAGCAGAGAGCAGAACCACGAGAAGAGCAGAGAAGCAGAGAGAACACCAGAGAATGCCGGAGAGCCCAGAAAGAGTGAAGACTGGCTGGGGGCTGGGAGGCTGGCAGGCCTCTGCTGGCACCTCTGCCGGCACCTCTGCCTGCTGTGTGCCTGGTAAATCCCAATAAAAACCTGCAAAAGCCACCGAGGGCTCCAGGACTCCTCCTTTACCCTGTCTGCTGGATTAGAGAACCTACACTGTGCCCATTCCTGCCCCCAACATATATCATATAAAAATCCATCCGCCTATGAGTATTCAATCAATTGATGATGCCCCAGAACCCAGCATGGGCACATAAAATCTATCCAGGATGATTTTTTTCTACTTGGAAAGACAGATAGCTTCCTATGGCTTCAAGAAACACCACAGAATAGCTAGAGCGAGAGCAGAACAATAATGTTCCTCCTCCTATCCCCAGGGCAGGGGATAAAGTGGAAAATTAAGCTCCTTCCACAGCCTTCAATTGTGGGATTCTTGAAAATATCCCACAAGAGAGGGGAGAAGGAAGGAAGATGTTACCCCCACAAGCAGCAGTCCAGAAAAAGTGGTACCATTATGCTTGTTCAGGGACCCCAAGAAGGGTTTGGAAGTTCTTCAGAAACTAGCCACTATCTAAGGAAAATTTTTCATTGTCTAGTCTAGAGTTGGTGGTAATGAAATGACTTGTTGGGGTGGAACTTTGATTCAAATTTGAGGGATTGCATAAGAAGACAACAAGACCAGGGCTTTGGCTGTAAATTGTTTCTGAAAGAAGGGATCCTAGGCAGTTGTTACCCCAGCTCCAGAGAGGCTAAAGTAGGCTTGACTTTGGCTATAAATTGTTTCTGAAAGAAGGGATCCTAGGCAGTTGTTACCCCAGCTCTAGAGAGGCTAAAGTAGGTTTGATTCCTCCGGGAGGGTGTGACGTGGGTTTGGCAGCGAATGAGCTACAGCTGATTGAGTTTCTCCTGCTTTTCCCTTTGAACTCAGGGTCGGGCCTGCCATTCCTGTAATTGGGAGTGAAAAATGGTGTGCTGTAAAGCTCATGCAGGGAGCTCCTGGCGTTGGGTGCTTTTAAAGGACTGGGGGAAATGCAGCAATGGACAAAGGCAGATTTTGAGCATTTTGACGTGCTTTCTCAACAGAAGTGGACTCTAAGATGTAAACATTGGCAGCAGTCTGAGGCACAGGGAGAGAATTAGAAGCAACTGTGGAGAAAATGTGGAAAAACTTTAAAGGTAAAACCAAATTTCCCTTCACAAAAGAGGGTGAATGAGAAAATTTTTTCTAGCTGAGATAATTGTGATTCACTCTTTGAGTTAAACACTCACCTTTCCTGAGAATTCAGTGATTGGCAGTTGTAATGGCTATGGGATTGAAGGAAAAGGAGGGAGTTTCCTTAACCATTTGACAAAGGGCAGCTGTTTATAGGCTGCCTGCGGTATTCCATGCCAATTAATGCTCAGCCTTTTGGTTAGTAAGATACTTCTGTCTGAACCTCAGTAAAGGAACACTGATTCCATAGACTTAAGTCAGTTCTCTGTCAGTAGGTTCGTTGGGAGGATGTCTCTTTCATCCATGTTGGAAGTGCCATAAACTAATCAAATATGCAAATGGGACTAGGGTATCTCTTGCTTTCGCAGTTATTTTTATGGCAGTATTATCATCTGCGGAGCACATCCCAATTTACATACACCCCCTGCCGCTAGGTAATCCTCCAGCTCACTAATGAAAAGAATGAGGTTCAGAGAAGTCAGGTCCCCAGCCCAGTAATCCACAGTTAGTGAAAGTCAGAGTTGAACTCAAAGGACCAGTTTGCCTAATTCCACAAACCTAGCCCTAGACCAGGGTGCTAATCCAGCAAGTTACAATCCTTCCGCAGTCCCATTATGCAGATGGATTGAATAGGAGAAACCAGCACTTTGTAATAACATGAAATAAAATAGAAAGCAACAGAAGACATGCTACATGAAGAATATCTGTTTGTCTGTGATACATTTATTTCATATTATATATGTGTGCGATTTATATATATGGTATCCTTTGTAGTAAAGTTTAAAAGCCACTGCTTTCAACCACTTGGCAATCCTGCTTCCATTGATAGGCAGGAGTATTCAGCCCAGTTTACTTTTAAAGACTTGTAGAGGAAGACCACAAAGAGTGGACTCCTCGGAAAGCACTCAAGATCATGATATCAAGAATTCTTTATTTTTGCCTCTGTGGAGATAGAGTCAACAAAAATTTTTTTTAAAGGGCAGATAAGAACTTGAGGCTTGCTGGTCAGGTGGCACCTATCACCATTACTCAGTTCTGAGGAAACAGCCATAGAGGATATGTAAATGAATGGGCTTGTCTGTGTTCCAGTAAAACATTGCTCACAAAAACAGAGAGCTTGCTTGTGGGCCATAGTTTATTGACTCCTCCTTTAGAACCTTATAAAAATAGATAAGTACCTGAATTCGTATGCATTAGGCCTACAGTAATTGAATGACTGCAAATTATTAGGGCAGCCCCAATTTCAAATGATCATTCCCAGAATTTGGGATTTCAGATTTCTGTTTCTGAAGATGTGATCCTCAGTTCTGTTTTAAGTTATGCTCACATTGCTGCATAAAAAGTTTACTCCAAAACTTTGCAGCTTTTAAAAGATTTTAAAACAACATCATTTTATAATTACTGCGTGTCAGGAGTCTGTGCCCAGCCTATCTAGGTGCCTCTGCTTCAAGGTTTCTCCCAAGGCTGCAATGAGGTTGCCACCTGGGAGATGGTCTCATCCGAAAGTTTGACCAAGGGAAGATTCTCTCCTTACTCACCACATGGTTGTGGCAGGATTAGGTTTTTTAGAGGTCCCCCTAGTTCTTGCCATGTGGGCCTCTCATAACATGGCCGCTGACTTCCATCAGACTGAGCAAGTGAGAGAATAAGAGAGGTCAAGACAGACAGAAGTCAGAGTCCTTTTATAACCTACCCTATTACTGTTTTCACTTGATCTAGTCCGTATCAAGTATAGACTAGAAGTAAATTGTTAGGTATGCCATAATCAAGTGGGGAGGGTTGCCAAGTGTGGAAATACCAGGAATCAGGAATGCTGGGAGCATGCAGTTTAAGGCTGCCTATGATGTAAAGGCTAGATATTTCATTCATTTAACAAATATTTATTGAGTACTTATGATGAGCCAGGTCTTACTGTAGGCAGTAAACAGAACAGATCAAAACTCTTGTTTTAATTCTAGTGGGAGAATTCATAAAACAAACCCCCAAAAAAGAATTCATATGGAATGATATTAATCAGATGGTATTGTGTACTGAATTTGTCCTGTCAAAATTCCTACGTTGAAATCCTAATCATCAGTGTAACTGAATTTGGAAATGGGCCTCTGAGGAGGTAAAGTGGTTAGATGATATATTAAAGGTGGGGGCCCTGATCCCATAAGATTAGCGATCTTATAAGAAAAGACACTGGAGAATTTGCCCCCCATCTACTCTGCCTCCATTTACAAGCACCAAAGGAAGGCCACATGGAAATATAGAGAAAAGGCAGCTGCCCTTTCAAGCCAATAAGACAGCTCTCCAGAAACAGAATTTATTAGTGCCTTGATTATGGATTTCTAGCTTCCAAAATTGTAGAAAAATAGTTTTCTTTGTTTAAGCCACCCAGTCTATATTATCTTGTTGTGGCGGGCTAAGAAAATTAACACATAATGATAGGTGCCATGGAGAAAAATACAGCAGAGTCATGCATTTGCAACTTCAATAAGTGGTCATTCATGGTAAGCCTCAGGGTAGGAGGTGACATCTGAGTAAAGCTTATGGAGATAGAGTCAAGCAAATATGGGAAAGAAAGTCAGTGAGAGGAAATATAGTTCACAGACCTTGAGACTGGGAGCATGCAAGAAACAGTAAGGATACCACCATCATGTTTGGAACAAAATATCTGTCGAGGGTGTGGAGGAGAATATAGCGGGCCAGCAGTCATTGCAAGAATTCTCTCATTTATTGGAATAAAGCAAGGGTCGTTGCAGGATTTTGAAATGAGCAATGTTATGATCTAACCAACTTTTAATGTGATCCTCTGGCTTCTTTGTGAAGAAAAGATTAATAGTAAAGGCAAGGAAGATGCAGAAAGGCCAGTAAGGATATGGTGTTGAGGCTACTGGTGGAGGTAATGAGAAGTCAACCTCTTTCACTTTCAGAAGCAAAATGCAGTGTATAAATCTCTTCATGAGCAGAGCTTAATCAAGACCCTTTTTGTTTATAGTGGGTAAAGATGCACACTAGCTCAGAAGCCAGAAGCCCAGTTAGTAGAGATAAGGGTCAAAACATTTAAATCTCTGGAACTCACACTTAGTCCTAAAC